TGTGTACCCAATTTAAGCCCAAAGGTAAAGTTATTAGTGACGTGATACGTACGTTTTTACACTGTTAAATGTTCAAAACTTATTGTAAATTATAAACTCAACAGATATTTTAATATTATCTTCTCATTATCTAAACTAGAATCTCTTCTTCTTACATCAAATGTTGATCTTCTTCGCTACCACGACTACAGACTATTAATTTAGCAAGTGTTATAAACCCATAACACGTGTTCATTCGTTGCTTACCTAAAATATTTTGAGACTGGTTAAATTTCCTTCGCTACCACGACTACAGACTATTAATTTAGCAAGTGTTATAAACCCATAACACGTGTTCATTCGTTGCTTACCTAAAATATTTTAAGACTGGTCAAATTTCCGATCATTTTCGTCTTCATAATTAACGTTTCTGGCTAACGGGCTCCTCTCTCTATCTTTTACGAGTCCCGAATAAACTAGATTCGGGACCTGTGTGTGTTTGTGTTATGTTACACAAATGGGAAGATTAACATAAACATGCAAGAATCTGACATTAATAATGAAGTTTATTCACCAAACAACATCCAAAAAGTAAAATTAAATCTGAAAAAACAGCTAAAACATGCGCTTAACAAACAGTGATTTTTTTTTCAAATATTCTTTCTTGACAGAATGCAATTCTCTAAAATAAAACAGGGCATTTTCTTGTGATTAAGCAGAAACACTTAAATTATAGAAACAAAATAGAATGTTTTATATTGCTACTCCATACCATTCACCGAATGAATTGTCTCGAGCTTCCTTTGTTAAATCTTAAACCTATAAACCAATCTCGTTATGATTGCTTTTAGTCACTCTTGGCCCATTAGTAGAGAAAACGTTAAAAAAACAAATACATTTACGTGAATTTGTTCTGTTTCTGTTTCGCTGCATATTTTTCCCTTTTACATCCGAGATCACACTTCGTATACTTTTTATGAATTAATCTTGATATGTGGAATGATAGCGTCTACATGGCCTTCTTGGGTAGTAATAAGGGGACTAAGCTCAATTAATTGTCTACATGGCCTTCTTGGGTAGTAATAAGGGGACTAAGCTCAATTAATTATATAAATGGCCTTCTTGGGTAGTTATAAGGGATAATATTCAAATGTTTTTATCTGATTTATTTTTGAATCACAAGTTTGATACTTTTAATATTTGTAAACGAACTAAGATTGCAACTGTCGGATAAATATATTTTTATTATGGTTGTAAAGATAATAAGTTATTTACCTTCAATCAAACAGTTTATTAGCTTATGTAATTCCTTAATATTAGTATTATACAATATAGACGTTTAAAAGCATGATAATCTATTTTTGTAAAGAACATTAACAGCAAACTGCATAAATCATAATCGCTCGTTCCTACTTAAACTATTATCTGCATCGTAAATTTTGAACAGAAAGACTAGAGTGAAGAGAGTTGGTCAATAGAACCCACTGTCAACTCTTGTTTGATCGAATAGTGGGATTTGACTATCACTCTTGTTGCAACAACTGATGCGAACTAAGAACCCTCGAATTCACAGTCCAAACACGTTAAATTCCAAAAATTAATTGAGCTTAGTCCCCTTATTACTACCCAAGAAGGCCATGTAGACAATTAATTGAGTTTAGTCCCCTTATTACTACCCAAGAAGGCCATGTAGACAATTAATTGAGCTTATTCCCTATATTACTACCCAAGAAGGCCATGTAGACAATTAATTGAGCTTAGTCCCCTTATTACTACCCAAGAAGGCCATGTAGACAATTGATTGAGTTTAGCCCCCTTATTACTACCCAAGAAGGCCATGTAGACAATTG